TTTGAATAAATTTTATTATTTCTTCAAGGTTTTTCACATATGTACACCTTAAGAGATATCAACTAGGTGTAACATATTCTCAACAAATTAGGGTTGGCACGCAGAATTTTTGAGTCAGAGATTTTGCTGGTTTTCACACGCACTCACAAAAAGGTTGCCCACACCTGACCTAAACTAATAGGTGAGTCTGAAGGATAGGGTAATGAGTTACAGGGTTGAAAGATCATAGGACATAATCTATTTCCAAGTTTCAGAATTATTTATTCAGAAGCAAACAGACAATCCCAAAGGACTTGATAGTCAAAAACTAAAACTAATATATAACCCAAACTCATTTTACTCTTTATTTTCAACTTTTTCATCTATTAAATCATTTACTATGGATGAAAAAAATGAAACTATGTGCCTCTTTGTTAGTACTTTGCTTCCTGCTGTCTGGAAAACCATAAAATAAAAGTGTAAAACTGAAAGACCTGAAAGATTGAGAAATAAGCATTTCTCTCTCTGAATAATGGACTAAATTTTCCAATAGAAAAATGTTAAGGAAATGTTTTTATATAAGAAAAATAATATAAAGGTAAAACCATCCAGTTTTAAACTTAAAAAATATATTATGATCAAAAGTTACAATGGGTATAATGTGATACCATTTAAAACTCAATAAAAATGTTTGCCGAAGCCGGTTTGGCTCAGTGGATAGAGCGTCAGCCTGCGGACTGAGGGGTCCCGGGTTCGATTCCAGTCAGGGGCATGTACCTTGGTTGCGGGCGCACCCCCAGTGGGGAGTGTGCAGGAGGCAGCTGGTCGATGTGTCTCTCTCATCGATGTTTCTAACTCTCTATCTCTCTCCTTTCCTCTCTGTAAAAACTCAATAAAATATATTTAAGAAAATAAAAATAAATAAAAAATAAATAAAAATGTTTATTTTCATACCTATTAACTACACTTACACTATGCAGAGAAAAAGAATTACTCTCAAACTCTTAATAGTACTTACATATCTGGAGGACAAACTATGGACACCTCTCACTTATGACCATATATATTTTTGTATTGTTATAAAGAGAAAAAGCATTTCATTTTAAAATTTAAAATGAGACCTAAACAATGAAATACAACTTAAAATAGACATGTGATCCAAACATCTTTTTTTAAAAATTAACTTTTATTATTATTATTACTAGTGGCCTGGTGCACGAAATTCATGCACATTAAAAGGGGATTAATTAGAGGAAATATTTTAATTTTGCTTTTTCTATAATAGAAGTGTCAGAGGTGAAAAAAAATTAGTAAAATGTATATGAAAATCTTCCTCCTGTCAGAGTCTGGGGTGCGCTGCGGGACCCAGAGTCAAGTCCCCGCCCACTCACGGTGCCTCAAAATCACGCAAGACCCAGACCCAGCTGGCCCCACACCCATTGGGCGAGATCCAGACCCAGCCAGCCCCATCCTTGTCAAGCCCCGCCGGGTGGGTGGGTGCAGCCTCAGGGCCCCCGTCAAGCCCTGCCGGGCCAGGGGTGTGGCCTGAGGTCACCTGGCACCAGGTTGGGGGGTGTGGCTTAAGGTTCTCCCAGCCTAGCACCAGTATGAGGGGCACACCTTGAGGTTCCCTGTCAAGCCCCACCAGGCGGGGGGTGCCGCCTGAGGTCCCATGTCAAGCCCCATTGGGCAGGGGGTGTGGCCTCAGTCCCCTGGCCCGGTGTCGGGGCAGGGGGCATGGCCTGATGTCCCTTGGTCCGGCACCAGGGTTGGGGCTGGGGGGTGCAGCCTCAGGTTCCCTGCCCTGGCCCAGTGCCACGCAGCCTCAGGTCCCTGCTGATTGCTCCTTAAGGCTCATTACGGGAACTCGGCCTCCGCTGTGGGTGCAGCCATCTTGTGTTATGAAAACCCTGCCTCTGCGGTGGGCGTTGCCATCTTTGTGATGACATGATGGTCAATTTGCATATTCCCTCTTTATTAGATAGGATTTGAATATATTTTTATTGATTTCAGAGAGGAAGGGAGAGGGAGAGATAGATGAGAGAGAGAATACTGAGGGAGAATTACTGATCAGCCACCTCCTGCATGAGCCTGCAACCTGGGCAATGTACCCTTGAGCAGAATTGAACCCGGGACCCTTCAGTCCGCAGGCCGACACTCTATCCACTGAGCCAAACCAGCTAGGGCCAAACATCTTTCAACAAGCTCCTGCAAAGAATTTTAAGGGTGAAATTTTATGTAAGAAAACCTTTAAGAATACACTTCCAATGTTAAGAATCTGACTAATAATAATATAGAAACCAATGATTACTATATAAAATCAAGGCAAATTTTAAAGCAGTTTAGATAATAAGCAACACAAAATGCTTCACAGGCATCATGTGTGCTACATAACAAAATTAAGTTTTATGCCGTGTTTTTTGATTTTCAGAAAACTACTTCATTTAAACCTGTACAGCACAGCCATACAATAGAATGTTATTTTGCAATAAAAAGGAATGAAGTACTAAAACACACCACAACACAGATAAACTTCTAAAACATGATGCTAAGTCAGCGGTTCTCAACCTGTGGGTCGTCACCCCTTTGGGGGTCAAACGACTCTTTCACAGGGGTCGCCTAACACCATCGGAAAACATATATAATTACATATTGTTTTTGTGATTAATCATTATGCTTTAATTATGTTCAATTTGTAACAATGAAAATACATCCTGCATATCAGATATTTACATTACGATTCATAACAGTAGCAAAATTACAGTTATGAAGTAGCAACGAAAATAATTTTATGGTTGGGGGTCACCACAAAATGAGGAACTGTATTAAAGAGTCGCGGCATTAAGAAGGTTGACAACCACTGTGCTAAGTGAAAGAACCCAGACACAAAAGATCACATAATGTATTCCATTTATCTGAAACGTCCAAAAAAGGCAAATCTATAGCAGTAGGAAGTAATTAGTGGCTGCTTAGGGGACAAGGGAAGGAATGGGTAGTGACTGCTAAGAGATATGGGATTTCTTTTTGGTTGATCAAAATGTTCTAAAATTAGATAGTGGTGGTGGCCACAAAACTCTATAATTATACTCAAATCACTGAATTGCACACTTTAAAAGGGTGAATCTTATAGTAGGTAAATCATAGCTCAAGAAAGCTTATTATTTAAAATACTACTGAAGAAAAAAGTAAATTTGAAGTATAATCAGAATAGATATTTTTAAAACCTAAATTCTGAGATTTCTGGTTGCCACAAATATTTCAAACAAAATCAGTTTTTCCTCCACTTGAAGACTGCTCAGGAGGTACCAGACCAGACTAGATTAATTCATAAAACTAAATTTAAATATGTCCTTTGAAATACAGATGAGGCATAAACGGTGCTTTCATTTGCATCCTATAAAAAGGTGAAATTAGCAGGTTCTCATACAGTAATTAAATGTGAAGGTCTTTATATAACCTCAAAAGGATGCTTTTCTATGGGGAGAGAACTGAAGAGTCTCAAATCTCACATACTATATCTTAGAGTCCTCTGGAGGCACAGATATAGACAGGCGTTTATTTAATTAAGAAGACTTGGCCCTCTTGGAAAAGACTTGTTTCTTTAATCTCCCTCATAGACTCAGTTACAGATTATTAAATCTGCAGAGATTACTAGTCTAACACCCTTTTTATATAAATGATGGTACTAGAGGAGAGGGTATACAGTAAGATTTGAGACTCTATTAACTTATCTGAAACGTAAGAATAACAATGGTATGTGCTTTATAATGCTGCTGCTAAGAGGACTGCATAAGAAAATATATAAGAGAACTGTTTTAACACAGTGCCTTACACAGAAGTAGATGTTCAACAATTATTTTCTTGCTCCTGCCCTACTGATGCTTTCATTTACCCCAACCTTTAATAGGCAGGTTATAATGACGAGATGACTGCCTTCCTTACTAGGGCAGATTCCTGGATGTGCAACACAAGGGTTACAAATATGGTTGATTCTGTCACAAATCTGACTCACCAGACTTACACTCAGACACTTTTTCTCCTCAGAACAGTGAACAGGGCTCTGGCTACTACACAAGTCTATTCCAAATGCCATCAGTAACCTAATCTACGTTTTTTGGTCAAATCTGGGAGCAGGAGTTGAGAAAAGTTAGAACACACCTTTTCTTAATATTTAATATTCCTAAGGTAGGATTTGATGCTACATAGCTAAATTCAAGCTATACTTCTATGTCATATTGAATTTATAAGAGTATCTCAATAAATGTAGATTCAAAAATGGAGTGGAGGAAGAAAAATAATCCTGCAAAATTTATCAGGATGAAAAACACTTATCTGGCTAAAAATGCCTATTAAAGCTCATGTAAGACATCTTATAGCTATCCATCTGCTTTCTTTTAGAATTCATATGAGAGGTCAGATTAAGGTCTTTTTAAAAAAAATGTGAAAGAAATTATAAAACAAATATTCCTTGTGTGAAAGAAATTATAAAAATTTCTTTCTTTATATTTAACACTAGAGGCCTGGTGCATGAAATTCGTGCACAGAGGGTGGGGGGGGGGGAGGTTCCCTCAGCCCAGCCTGCACCCTCTCGCAATCCGGGACCACTGGCTCCTAATCGCTCACCTGCCTGCCTGCCTCATTGCCCCTAACCACTCGCCTGCCTGCCTGATCACCCCTAACTGCCTCTGCCTTGGCCCCTGCCACAGTGGCTTCGTTCAGAATGACGTCAGGAAGGTCGTTTGGCTGTCCAGTCTAATTAGCATATTACACTTTTATTATTATAGATTCAATTCTATTATTATAGTTTTCCTTTTAAGAGAAAACAAGGACTGTATCAGTTATAGAGGTTCTGTCAGTTAAAATGTCCATAAGTGTTTCACTGGTTAAAAACTGATGTAGATGTACATATTTTGATGTCAGATCATATGTCATGTGTGTATTCTTACATTCAAATACAACATTTAAAATTCACTTTTTCCTTTCCAACCTTTTACTTAATATCTATTTATACCATTTCTTACCTCTTGTGTTAATTTTGGTATGAACCTCAAGCTGGGGATCGCTTGAAACCATACAAGGCCACCAAGGATAGGTTCCCACCTTTGACCAAACAAGATCGCCAACCTGGAACTTAATGCCAGCGGACACCTCTGTTGTTGGAACAGAAGATAATATTGGCTGAACCTGTAGGAAAAGGTCATAAAACTACATCAGCAGAGAAATTTTAAAGAAGAAACTATGCACAAAGTACATTTAACATGCTCTCCATGTAGAATTACCTTCAATTATACTTTTATCTGATACTTGCTATCCATAACTAACAAAAGGGAAGAGAGGAGAAAAATAATAAGCCCAACTCCAAATATTAAAAATGGGATTGATGATTTCTATTACCACATTATAAGGAATCTTGAGAATTCACATAATCTATTAAAAAGTGGTTATAATTTTGGAAAGGAAAATAATTCACTGAAAATATCTTCCTTTTAAACCAGTTATAAAATTTATTTCAGTATAACTTCTAAAATAAAGAAGTATGGACTATAATGTGTTAAATGTGTTGTAATCTAATCATTCTATTTTCACCTTCTTATGCCATATTTGATTAGACAGTATTCAATAAAGTAACTCACCAAGGTTTCCTCTTTTAGTACCGGTTCTTCTCTTGGTTTTTCAGAAACAGGATCAACCCTCTCATTTGGTCTCTACATGAAAAGGTATAGGGAAAAAGAATAAAATGGTAAACCAAAGAATAGTGATACAAACACACACACACACACACATACACACACACACACACACAATCAAAGAAAACTAAATATAGCAAAGAGAATAAAGGACACTTATTAACTGGATAATGTAAAGAGTAAGAATACAACTTATGCAGTACTTAATGCTATGTCTTAACAGTCATTTTCTATTCTATGCCATAACTATAACTCTATTTTATTACTATTTTATCTATTTTATTACTTTTAAAACTGAATTTCTTAATTTGCTTGTTTTGGTGTTTGTTTGTCTTTTAAACCTAGCAGGGAGCAGAAAAATGAGCACTCTGAAATTGCTAAGATGTAGCTTGGATTTTTTCTGAAGAGCAATTTGGCAAAAATGTATGAAAAGCATTAAATTTTCAGACTCTGACCCAGCAAATCCACTTCTAAAAACATATATTGAAAAAGCATATAAATAGAAAAAGAAGGGAAAGATAAAGAAGATATATACACCAGTGCTATTTGTAAAAGTGAGCATTAGAAACAGTCTAGATGTTCAAAATGTAGTTTGTTAAATTAATTGTGGCATAACTAGACAGTAAAATAATATAAATACATTTTAATATGACATGAGAAAATAAAAACATAATGCTACTTAAAAAGAGCAAATTGCAAAGCAGTTTGTATAGCATGATTCCAACCTTGGAAAAATAATTTTTATGTGCACAGAATAAAAAGACTAGAAGGATACCACCACATGATGGAATAAGTGACTTTTTGTGTGTATGCGTTTCTGTATTTGTCAAACTGTCTATAATAATAAACATCACGTTGCTTTTCTAATAACAAAACCACAAATCTGTTACTTAAAAATGAATTTCAACAATCCTTGGGGAGGTAATTTAAAAGTATCTATCAAAATTCAAATTATGTACACTCTTTAATCTCCTATATTTTAGGAACCTATTCTACAGAAATACAAAAAATGAGAAAAATCTAAACAGAGGGATGGTAACTATAGAAGTGTACCATGTCAGTAATCTACGTGTCTACCAACATCCTCCTACTTTTTATCAGATACATTGTACACCAAACTGATAAAAGCAGTTATCTTTGGGAAATAAGATTAGGAAAACATGAGGGAAGAGCTATACTTTTGTATTATCTGCATTTTCTGTAAAAAAAGCAAATTACTTTTGTAATGTAAATTTTAAAAAAATTTCTCACTTGTCAAAGAACAGAATTTAGTTTAGATGGCTTAGAAAGAGGAATATATCCATCAAATAAGGTCTTAACTCCATTAAAAAATATAGCTAATTTTATTTTTTTATTCTCACCCAAGGATATATTTATTGATTTTTAGAGAGACAAAGGGAGGGAGGGAGAGAGAGGGGGGGAGGGAGAGAGAGAGGGGAAGAGAGAGAGAGAGCGAGAGAACAAGAGAAAGACATCAATGTAAGAAACATTGACTGGTGACCTCCTGTATTCGCCCTGACTGGGGATTGGACCCACAACCTTTTGGTGTATGGGACGATGCTCCAACCAACTGAGCCACCTAACCAGGGCAAAAAAAATATGGCTAATTTTAGAAGCTACTCAAAATTCTCATTCAATTAATTAAAAACATTTAAAACACTGTTGTAGCCCTAACCGGTTTGGCTCAGTGGATAGAGCGCTGGCCTGCGGACTGAAAGGTCCCAGGTTCAATCCCGGTCAAGGGCATGTACCTTGGTTGTGGGCACATCCCCAGTAGGAGGTGTGCAGGAGGCAGCTGATTGATGTTTCTCTTTCATCAATGTTTCTAACTCTCTATCCCTCTCCCTTCCTCTCTGTAAAAAATCAATAAAATAAAAAAACAAAAGAAAAGAAAACAAAACACTGTTTAAAAACAAAGTTTTATTAAATAAAGCTAATTGTAGCCTGACCGGTTTGGCTCAGTGGATAGAGCGTCGGCCTGCGGACTCAAGGGTCCCAGGTTTGATTCCGGTCAAGGGCATGTACCTGGGTTGTGGGCACATCCCCAGTAGGGAGTGTGCAGGAGGCAGCTGATCGATGTTTCTCTCTCATCGATGTTTCTAGCTCTCTATCTCTCTTCCTTCCTCTCTGTAAAAAATTAATAAAAAATATTTTAAAAAAGCAGCTAATTGTAAAAAGATTTTTAATTGGTAGGAAATTATAAGCTAGACTAATATATCCCCAATCCCAAGTATTAATTGTTCATTCAATAGTGCCCACAACTTTCCAGGAACTGTTCTAGAAGTTTGGTATACAATAGTGAAACAGATTGTGATCCCTGACCTCACAGAACTCTACAGTTGTGTAGGATAGACATTAAACAAACAAAAACACAAGCAATATACTAATACAATGTAAATGCATGAAGAAAAACAATGGTGTGTGGGTGTGTAGGGCAGTGTAAGGAGCTGGATGTGGGTGTGTATATCTTTAGATACAAAGCTCAGGAAAGGCCTCAGAAAGTAAATTATAATCTGAAAATCAAAGGAAGAGGAGTTAGTCTAGTAGAAAGTGGGGGAAAGAGCATCCCAAAAAGAAGTGGCAAATGTGAGGTCCCTGAGGTTAAAAACAAAGGCAGAAATTTTAAGAAGGCCATTACAACAGACTTAACTGCCCCAAAGAGGAGAGAGGATACAAGATGAAAGTAGAGATGCTGGCTACATTACAAGGGCCTTGTAAGCCATGTTCAAATGTTTTATCATCAGTGTAGTGAAAAACCACTGAAGAGGATTAGGTAGAGAAGTAACATGCCAATTTGTTTTTAAAAGATCGTGTTAGCAGTTACATGGAGAATATTTTGGAAGGAAGGAAGAGGAGAAGCAAAATGTTTAATAGGAGGTTAAGAAAAATAATGGAAATGGCCTAGGTGAAAGAAGGTACTAGCAACTTGTTGATGGCACAAAATTAGCTCCATCAGATGCATTTGTGGTAGTCCCCAAAATATCTAATATAATAGGACACACTCAACTGAGCAAGGAAAAAATATCTATGTTCAAAAGAAAAATTTTTTTTCCTGATCACTAGTGTAATAATAAAGCAGTTTAGAAATACTGCTCACATCTGCATAGGCCCATTAGGTAGCTTCATTTCAGTCTACAGGTGTAGCTTACACCTTAACCTCAGTTTCTCATTCTCAAGCTACAGCAGGAACACAGGGCCACTTAAGAAGCAAAAATGTAGTCAAGAAAGTGAGTCATCCTCCCCACATTTAATCTTCATGATGTCTGGGTGTAAGGAATCTCTATACTCTTTCTGAGGGCAGATAGGTAAGGAGTAACTAATCTTTGCCAAACAACAGAATCTTACTATTGTAAGAACTGGTCTGAACCCCATTAGCTTTTTCCCCTTTCTGGATTAAAGACAGAATTTCCTTCAAAACTTTTAAATTACTCAAATGTCTTATCTTTATTTAATTTTTTGTTTTGTTCTAGATTATTCGTGTTTCCTTCAGGCTGGCTTGAAATACTGTTAAAATCACTTTCCTAGAATTGATTTTTTTTTTTTTAACGCAGTCATTTTAAAAGAAAACAAATGGCAAGGGAGAGAAAGAGAACCAAGAAGATTTATTCCAGCTTTCAAAACCATATAACTAAAAGAAGGAAAAAGAAGTCAAATAAAGATGCTGCAATGATAGAAAAGGAATACTAGGAATACTCTGCATATACATTGGAAAATGTGCTAATGCATGAGCAAAATAGAATTATCTAGGTGGTATTCAGAGATCTCCAATGAGCTCAAAAGAAAGGCAAAAGGATAAACCAAGAGATAGCATACTAACACAAAAGTTAATTAAGGAGAGAAGTTTTTAATACAAAATGGTCAACAGAAATCAAACATTTAAATTCAAGAAAAAATAAGGAGCCAGAAAATGTCAACAAATAAAATCCACTTTCTTTAATTGTTCAAAGGATAGATAAGCTTAAGAGTAATTAAAATCAAGTAAGGGCAGAAAATACCGTTTTGGTACTAAATTTATGACTTTATGTATATACCACTTTTTCATATTTTAGTTGATTTCACATGGAAAGATCTCTATTCCAGGAAAGAATCACAGGAAGTTTCTTAAACAGGAAAAAAATGTTAAGAGAGCAGCTGAAACAAAATTACATTATTCTAAATACGCCCCTTTAAAAATTTGGTCTACTACTTTTATTCAAACCCAAGCAATTTATTAATATGAATAATATGCATCAAATTTGGCAGAATTCAAAACCCTTAATAATTTTCAAAACATTAAGCAAAATCCTACTATCTAAAAGAACCAAAAACTTATGTCAATATTTTAAGGTGAAAAGAAAAATTTTAAAAATATTTGTACTGATTTTTAGAGCGACGAAGGGAGAGGGAGAGAGAGAAACATCTGATGTGAGAAAGATCGATTGGGTGCCTTCTGTAGACCCTCCCACTGGGAATCCAGCAGCAACCCACTCGTGTGCCTTGACCTAGAATTGAACCAGCAACTTTTTGGTGCACAGGATGACGCCCAACCAACTGAGCCACACTGGCCAAGGCGAACAGAAAAGTTTAAAGGCAAAATAAATTGTCCATTTTTTAATTTTCTGAATAACTGCTTAAGTTCATAATCTTAAAAACTAAAAAATATGTACAAAAAGAACATTTTACATGTGAACAGGTTCTAAGAATTTTAAGACTTAATACTCTGAGGCTAGAAAACTAAATATAACCCCTAACATAGTGCTAATGGGACTGAATCAGCTCTTTGGCTTTTTATAAGTAAAAATGGCAAGCTAAAAGTTAATGAGACTAGCATTAGTGGATAAGCCCAGAGGTGCTGGTGGAAGACCAATGTTTGAACAGGGCCTTCACTCACATGCCTGAGGCATTACACCTGCCGAGGAGGAAGAAATGCAGAAACACTTCCACATGTTTCTAATTTGGTGGGAGTAAAAACAGCTAAAGCAGCTTTAAAAAATATACAACTTCAATAGTGATCTGAGGTCCCCTGCTGCCTAGATGTTTGGACATTTTTTTCATTGTTGAGAAGATATACTTAGGTTCTTCTAAATAACAGCCATTCTTTAGAAGGCCAAACAGCTCAGAATTGGGAGGAAATACTTGTAGATCAAATACTAATAAAAAAGAAAAAGTGAAATCTTAAAGTGAGATTTTGTTTGCTCAAAAAAGAACCTAAGAACGTATATCAGCTTGAGGGAAAACATTCCAAACTTTTCCTGCAGGCACACAGTTCTCATTATGCTTCCCTAAGGTACTGGGGGAAGGGAACTGTCCAGTGGAGTCAGCACTTTTACTGGGGCTTCGCTTTCACTCCTAAGCCCTTTATAATGCTAAACACCCAAGGTTTGGACCCCTAGTGACAACCAGGAGGCACAAAGGTGTCAAAAACAAAAACATTTTTTAAAACTGTCCTGCATGAAGCAAAACAGATGTTCTAGTTAAGGAAATGCCATTAAAAAACATAAGTTTACAAAACATTAATTTGTGCGCATCAGTAGCTATCTATAGAGCTTAGCAAAAGCATGATACCAACAACAAGCAAGCAAGAGCCTTGGGAGCTCTAGCTTTAAAGTTCTACTGTCAGAATAAAGTACAATTTTTATGGCACCCACTTCTTTTTTTAAAAAAAAATTATTTTCTTGATTTTTAGAGAGGAAAGGAGAGGGAGAAAGAGACAGAAACATCAATGGTAAGAGAGAATCACTGATTGGCTGCCTCCTGCACGCCCCCCACTGGGAAGCAAGCCTGCAATCCAGGTGTGTGCCCTTGGCCGGAATCGAACCTGGGCCCCCTCAGTCTGCAGGCCGACGCTCTATCCACTGAGCCAAACTAGCCAGGGCTGCTGCTGCTTTTTTTTTTTTAATTTTTTAAAATATATTTTATTGTTTGTTTACAAAGAGGAAGGGAGAGGGATAGAGAATTAGAAACATCGATGAGAGAGAAACATCAATCAGCTGCTTCCTGCACACCCTCTACTGGAGATGTGCCCGCAACCAAGGTACATGCCCTTGACCAAAATCAAACCTGGGACCCTTCAGTCCACAGACCGATGCTCTATCCACTGAGCCAAACCGGTCAGGGCTGGCACCCACTTCTTAAGCTTCTAACTGCCCTCTACATGTGATAAAATTTTAATTAATAAAAATTCAACTTACAAGAACTTAGCTTTTCATTTCTTTGAAGGAAAAGATAGGAAGGGAAGGAAGGGAGGAAGAAAAGGATGGGCGAGGAAGAAAAGGAGAAGGAAAAGAGAGGATAGTGAGGAGAGGGAGAGAAATAAGAAAAAAATCTATATTCCCCCGCCCCAAACACTCAACTTTCAGGCAATGGCCTTGTTAATATTTAATGCAATCAATGCCAGTTTCTACATCTGTATCTACAAATTGACATTCCCTTACTTGAAGATATTATATAATCCTAAATAATGAAATAATATGTTTCACATGGTTTACGAAAAAAAAAAATAACCATAACTCTTAAATTATATCTAGCCTTTCTAATGCCTGGATATGATAGTTAACTGAAGTTTTAAGTGATATAAAGCATAGCAGATATCCAAAAAGACAGAATTGGCTTTAAAATCTCATTGCAGAGTGATTACTAGAAATATCACTGCACTGAATTTTTCCTAGATTCCAATAAAGCAAAAAGTAGATATGAAAAATAGCCTGTCTTATCCTGCCTCTAATTGCATCCAGCCCTATTTCTATTTTGATATATACTTTAAGTCATTTTATCAATAAAGGGAAAAAGTCTAGCCTATTAAATAAAATTGGACATTCTTCTACTTGCCAGGTTCTCTAGAGCAAAAGCAAGATGGAGCCGGCAAGACAGTTCTTAGGAACTGAGCTAAAACCAAATTCAGTTTTGTGCATTTTTGTGATTCCCAAAGGTCATAGTGCATCACATATATTTTCATTTCAGATCTAGGGAAGAAATGCTACAGTGAATGTATCTGGAGTACAAAAAGTTAACTTCTTTTGTTTATTCATTTACTTAATTGTCAATATAAGATACTATGTGAGGTTCTGTGTGGGGCAGTTAATAAACAGTATAAGAAATTGAAAGTTCCAAAGCCTTCATTTTACAGTTCTTACAAAACTAAGACACCATAATAGCTAGTGTCCCTGATTACGCTTTATCTCATTACCTGGTTTTATTTTCTTCATCTGAACTTACATATGTACACACTAGAATAGAAGCACACAAAAAGCAGGCATCTTTACTTTTCATTCATTGCCCTACTTTTAATTCTAAGTGCCTAGCACACTGTAGGTACTCAATGGATATCTGTTAAGTAAATAAGAAAACTATAGGGATTGGGCCTAAACCGGCAGTCAGAGATCCCCCGTGGGGTCCCAGATTGGAGAGGGTGCAGGCTGGGCTGAGGGACACCACCCCCTAGTGCACAAATTTGAGTGCACGAATTTGGTGCATCAGGCCTCTAGTCATAAATAAATCAATAAACCAATAAACAACAAGTGCTGGAGAAGATGAGGAGAAAAGGGAACCTGGGTGCACTGTTGGTGGGATTGTACATTAGTGTAGCCATTATGAAAAACAGTATGGAGATTCCTCAAAAAATTAAAAATGGAACTGCCATACAATCCCCCAATTCCATTTCCCAGCATTTGTCTGAAGAAAACAAATACACTAATTTGGAAAGATATATGCACCCCTAAGTTCCCTATAGCATTACTAGTAAAGCCAATATATGAAAGCAATCTAGATAGATGTCCATCAAAGATGAATGAAGATGTGGTACACACACACACACACACACACACACACACACACACTCACACACACACACACACACTGAAATATTATTCAAATATAAAAAAGAATGAAATCTTGCCATTTGTGACAACATAGATGGACCCAGAGGGTATTACGCTAAGTGGAATAAGTCAGACAGAGAAAGACATACCACATAATCTATAATAATAAAAGGTAATATGGTAATTAGACTGGACAGCCGAACGACCTTCTGGACGACCATCCGGATGAAGCCGGGGCTGCAAGGGCTGAGGTAGCAGCTGCCGTATGAAATCTTGCCATTTGTGACAACATAGATGGACCCAGAGGGTATTACGCTAAGTGGAATAAGTCAGACAGAGAAAGACATACCACATAATCTATAATAATAAAAGGTAATATGGTAATTAGACTGGACAGCCGAACGACCTTCTGGACGACCATCCGGATGAAGCCGGGGCTGCAAGGGCTGAGGTAGCAGCTGCCGTGGCTGTGAGGGCTGATCCCTTGCACAAATTTCGTGCACTGGGCCTCTAGTCTCACATATATGTAGACTATAAAAAACAACACCAGCCCTAACCGGTTTGGCTCAGTGGACAGAGCGTCGGCCTGCGGACTCAAGGGTCCCAGGTTCGATTTCGGTCAAGGGCATGTACCTTGGTTGCAGGCACATCCCCAGTAGGGGGTGGGGGGGGGCGTGCAGGAGGCAGCTGATCCATGTTTCTCTCTCATCAATGTTTCTAACTCTCTATCCCTCTCCCTTCCTCTCTGTAAAAAATCAATAAAATATATTAAAAAAAACACACACCACCACCACCACCACCAAAATAAATGTATAAATAAAACAAAGCAGAAATAGACCCATATATATAGAGAACAAGCTGATGGGTTGTCAAAAGGGAAGGGATGGGAGGATGTGGCTAAAAAATAATGTATAAAAAAAAATCATGCCTGAAGGTGCCCAACCCACATGAGGGATCACAAGATTAGGTGTTACCATGGTTCTTTCCACTGTCGTGTGACACTGATTACTAAAACAAAAAGTGTGAATAAATATGAACCAAAAACTTAAACGAGAGTGAGTCTCTAGACCTTACTACCAGTTTACAAGAAATATAGGGACAGAACTTGTTAATGATGCCATTGGGACGCAATCAACAAGATCCGGAATATGAAACCCTCTGAAGGAGAAATACCCCGTTTCTTTAATAAATATATTGTAAGAAAAAAAGCAGTGAGGGGAACCTGTTGATTTAAGAAGTCCTAAGAAACATATCTACCAGATGCAACATATGGGCTTTACCTAAATTCTGCTTTAAACCTATCAACTGAAAAGCAAGCATACACCTTAAGTTACCTAAGAAGGATAACTCTTCTAAAAACTGTGGCTGGAGTTTGAATCAATATATACAAAAACAAACTCTTGATTTTAATAAAAAGAGGTCCTTTATTGCTTTAGGTTATTTTGTAGCAAACACAATAGTAGGAAGTGCTAAATCTAGGAATCTAGGATCTACTGGCAAAACTTGGTCTAAAAAACATATAAACAAACATCTTCTCTTTGCCTTTACTCTTCATTTTCAGAAACAAGTTTATTAGAAGCAAATAAAAATAAAGGTATTAGACAGAGAAACATAAAAAGCAAGTTCTTAGTGCCACATTATAATACTGTTTCACTCTAATGATGTCCATTCATTTATTCAACAAATATTTTCTCAGCACTTATTGTATTAGCCTAAGCTCCTTATTAGAGATTAGAAGAAAGAAGTTATCAGAAATACTTACATTTAAAGAGATAAACACTGAAAAATAGCTCTAGGATTTCCAGTAAATGTGAAACATTACAGAATTTTTCAAAAAGATGTTTCAACTTACATTTTGTTCCTCTGGTTCTAATTTGGGGATTTTGTGTGACTTGCGCTCTTCAGATCTAGATGAGTCATGTTTGTTGCTTTTTTTCCTCTTTTCTTTTCTGCTTTCATGCTTTGACTTTGTGTGCTCACTTGCCTGTACTTCATTTAAAAGGTCTCCACAGAGGGAAGACTCAAACAATTCCCTGCCATTCTGGATAGTTTTGGTTATTTTCAGTTTAATTTCAGGTGAGCCAGTCTTCTTTGGAATCACAGTTTGTGGTACCGAAGGAGGTGGTAGCTGTGGAGGAGAAGGTTTTTCCAGAATTTCATGTGGTCTTGTGTTTGGAATTTCTGAATGGTAATAGTCAGTGGGGCTAAAGTTTCTAACTGCACCAAAGCCATTGGCTGATCCATTGGGATACTGATTATAAGACTGGTATTTGGTTTGAGTTTCATACATGCTGATTGATGGTGGATAGCCATTTGTGAGTGGAGGAAGATCTTCTGTTGTAGGTGCATACTGAAAGCCTTGCTGCAAGGTAGCTTCATATGGTGTATGGCCACCATCTTCAACAATGTCACTGCTGTTATCAAAGGCATCCTCCTGACGGATGTTGACGGAGTCAATAAGTTGAGGTGGTTGCTGAATTGTGTTTCCCATGATCCCTTGCATGAAAGAGAAAGAGAAATCCATTGTTCTGCTCCAGCATCCTTAACTTTCCCTTTTTCTCATCGGGCCTAAAGTTTTAAAAGGGGAAATTAAAAGGTATTAATATCCTCACAAGCTAAAAGCTAACCAATTGAAAAAGTAATAAACTAAAATATTCTGAACCCAATTTTCATATCCAGATATGCAGAAACACTAAATATTTTTAAAACAGGTAGCCAATATAATTGTAGCACAACACAAATACATTTTTATCTTAAAGTCTTATATGCTTAAAAAATCTCAATTACTTTCAAAATAATTTTAGTACAATTTTTATTCTCTTTGTAAACATGCAAGATAGCTTTCTGTTTTCCAAGTTAGAGAACATAATTCTAATGTTAAACCTGATATTTGCAATATAAGCAGTTCAGACACATATAAATTAGGTCACTCAAAGCTTCCTTTAAATCATTCATGTTCTGTCCAGTGGTTCTTTTGTCATTACAAAAAGACTAAAATCTTATTGCAAGTACCTATCCTATCTAATAAAAGAGAAACATGGTAATTGGCGTACGACCGCTACCCTTCCCATTGGCTAATCAGGGCGATATGCAAATTAACTGCCAGCCAAGATGGCGGCTGGCAGCCAGGCAGCTTGAAACTAACATGAGGCTTGCTTGCTTCAGTGACGGAGGACTCCAACGTTCCCCGCCTGCTGCTGCAGGCCTCTGAGAGGGCAGTTTGAAACATCGTAACATATAGAAGCTAAAAAAACTCCAGAAACCTGCTTTCAGCGAGCTGGGATCTCAGAGCTGGAGTTGATACAGAGTTTTGATTAGAGAACACAAACGAGTCTGGGCCCGAGGGTTTCCGCTTTCCCAGCAGCAGAGGCCGCAGAGCTGGAGCCACAGCTAAAGCTGGCCCAGAATAAAAAATAAAAAAAAAGGAGCGGTTGGGAGCTTCTGTAACCTGCCAGCCTGAAAACAGCCCTCAGCCCCTCACCCAGACTGGCCAGGAACCCCAGTGGGGCCCCACACCACGCAGG